ACACTTGACATATTTCTCAGCCTAGAGAAGAAAAAGGGGTGGGGGAAGAATCTAAACAAAGCGATGCTCAACAGGGTCTCTGCCATGGGAAGGGAGGATGAGAAAGGGAGCTGGACTGAGTGGTGAAGTTGCCGGATGTATTGATGATGACGTGCCATCAAGCTGGTGCCATCAAGCTGGTGTCAACTCATAGCAACCACGTAGATTTTTTCCAGGATAATCTGTCCCTAACCCGGTCCTTCAGATCTTCTAAGGATGCACTCAACACCCCTGTGACTGGGTCCCTCTATTTTGTGCTGGTCGTCGTCTTCTTCTCTTTTCTTCTACCATTCCCAGCATCAGAGCCTCCTCCAGAGAGCTGGGTCTTCAAATCATGTGTCCATAGTAGGATTATTTGACCCCGGTCATTGCTGCCTCAGGTGAAAACTCTGGGTTAATTTGTTTGATGACCATCAGTTTGTTTTCTTGGTTGGTATCCTCTGGTCTTCTCCAACACTAAAGTTCAAAACCATCAATACTCCTCCTATCCTGCTTCTTCAAAGGCCAACTTTCACTTCCATAGAATGTTGCTGGGAAATTTACTGATGACCCCAAATTATTTTGGGGGTAACAGGGAATTTTTAAAAAACATTCTGGAAAAAGGCAGTGGTGAAGCCCAAAACTCCAGGACTGATGCTCCACCTTGAGTGTCCTCCCATTTCTCTACAGCAGAGTTTCTCAATCTTGGCAACTTTAAGACAGGTGGATTTCAACTCCCACAATTCTGAGAGTTGAAATCCACCCCTCTTAAAGTTGCCAAGGTTGAGAAACACTGCTCTAGACCATAAAGAATATGAAAGGGTTTCCCCAAAACTTCCCTAGTGTGGCAGAACATAAAAATAGCAGATGTTACCAATTTTGTTACCATTTTTGTTTGTTCTTGTTAGAATGTACATTTTTGATATGATTTTGGGATTTTAACTTTGGACTGTTTAATGTGATGGACTGTTTACCCTGGATGTTTTATTGCAAAAGACCGATCGTAATCTGCTGAGAGTTGACAGATTGCAGGAGATTAGAACGGAATAGAACAGTGTTTCTCAATCTCAGGAACTTTAAGATGAGTGGACTTCAAGTCCCAGAATTCCCCAGCCAA